AGTGCTGGGATTATAGGCATGAGCCACCGCGCCCGGCGCATCAACTTTATTTAAAGGAAAAGCCAAGAGAATTAGTTGGATCTAGAATGCTTTTGTATTCTGTGATGTGATGAAAAATATTTTTCACTATGTCCTCAAAGAAAAGCTGGACTAAGACTTAGAAAGCTACATAAATAACTTTTTGCTGTTTAATCATATCTCACTGTGAGCTCTATCATGAATGATGGCATCTCTTGTGTTTTTCTGCCGTTCAATATGTAAACAAATGTAGGGCTCTTGTCTGATTGATTCTAGATAGCCTTTCTCCATCTGAAATGGAAACCACTCTCGGTGTGGGTGTCAAGGTTTGTGAAGCATGTTTTAAATAATTATGGAAGTCACCAACCATGGCTAACAAAGGAGATAGATCCTCATTTGTCCTTTAGGTTAATCATTTCAGATGTAAGTGAACTTCAACTCATTTTTTTCTTTCCTCTTTCATATGCACTACAAAACTCAATACAACTTCCCTATTTGGCATAGCTGTTTAAAATTTGCTGTATCCGCAGTATAGCTGTTCACAAGGTCCAAACAAGCAACTGACAATTTCTCTCAACCCAAGGCACATCATTAAGCATTGCTTGTTCCACAGCTTCAAGTAAGGGAGGAGCAGTAGGGATGGCAGATTGGAGACACCAAGGAAGAAGCGTGGTAACTGATTCGATGCAGAGGGGAGGGGAGAGAGAGAGTATAAGGGAGACCAAAGAATCCAGTGACTTTGGGGTTTCTTTTTCATATGTGAGTGACTGAGAATGCTGATATCTGAATTAGGTAAGAAAGGGGAAATAAACAAAAACTATAAAAGATTTGAAAGGAAAGGTATTTATCTTCATTTCACCATTGTATTTGTTTTGAAAGTTTGCACAGCTGCAATATCTCTTAGTGCATGTTTGTAAAGGAACTCAAGTTTGGGGCAACGTGGTTTTTTGATACAAAAGGAATTGTCAGGGTAATAAACTTAAAGGGAGTAGGGAGACTTTTATTTTATTTTATTTTATTTTATTTTATTTTATTTTGAGATAGAGTCTTGCTCTGTTGCCCAGGCTGGTGTGCAGTGGCACAATCTTGGCTCACGGCATCCTTTGCCTCCTGGGTTCAAGCGATTCTCCGATTCTCGTGCCTCAGCCTCCCAAGTAGCTGGGTTTACAGGCACGTGCCACCGTGTCTGCTAATTTTTGTATTTTTAGTAGAGACAGGGTTTCACCATGCTGGCCAGGCTCTCAAACTCCTGACCTCAGGTGACCCACCCACCTTGGCCTCCCAAAGTACTGGGATTACAGGTGTGAGCCACTGTGCCTGGCCAGGAGCCATTATTTTTAATGGAGAACACCAAGTCTTACTCAGAAGTAATGAAAAGTTAATCGTGAGAAATTCTGTTGGTCTCTGAAGTGCAAGAGGAGGGATAACCCTTACAATCTATAGTGCCTATGATAGAGAGGCTTTAAAAAAAGGAAGCCAGGACTTCTCATACGTGGTGAATTTGGTCCTCCTGGTGTCAAACTTCCAGGAAGCCAGACCCTTCCTGCTCAAATGATGTGGTTTCCTATCGTACATATAAATAGTTCTTGCCCTACGAAAAGAGTTAAGAATAGAAGCCAAGGAACCACACATACAAACACACACATGGCAGAGCACAGCTGTCAATGTGGCCAACAGAAGAGTGGCATTACCAAAAAAAACTCTGGGAGAAGGTGGGGCAAGGCAGCCACAGAAGCTGCAGGGTGGGGGTGGAGTTCAGGAGAAGCAATCAAGCACAGTGCACACTTCGCAGTGCAAAGAGCAGCAGGCAAACTGCCCAGAAGAAAAAAAGAGTGGGGTGGCAGACCCTTGAAATGGGTGGATGAGAGGAGAGGCGGCAGAACGAGTAAGGACATGTCTAAGGATATGCAGAGAAGGCAGCAAAGATCTTAGGTCATACAGACTGCAAAGCAAGCCAAGTCTCTTTATGTTTTTAAGGAAGGTGGGAGAAAATCAAAGCATAATAGAATCAGGCCTAAGTGTCTGCCTTCACACAGGGAAGAATCAGCCAGAATAGAGGAGCCAGGACTCCCAGCTCCATTCTTGGGATAAATTCAACTTTTAGAAAGCAATCCTCAATTCTGGGCATATCTTACCTCTTAGAGTTAAATTCCTGTTGAAATAATTCATACTATGTGTATTAAAATATAAAATAAAGTCTTCACCAGTGGATTTTAGGCCAGGCAACATTATGGTTTCATAGGCTGTTGCCTGATCTTCTAATAATTTTCTAAAAAATATCTAACAGTTGGACATTTATAATCTCCCATGATCTTTTCTGTGTGTGACCTTGTTAAGGAAATACGAATTATTAAATATAAAGAATCATTTAAAGTTACTGATATTCTCCAGACAATTAAATCACCTACTGTCCCTTAAGCAAACTATCTAATAATCTGAGCTTAATTATTAACGGTTTATTTTCTGAATCCCTTGAACCTCAAATAAGGATTTTTCTTTATTTTGTTATAACCATTCACTGCTGACAGCCATAGTCAAAGCTCTAAAAACTAAGCACTAGCAGCTTCTGTGATTACCAGAGGCAGCGTGATGTACCATCTAAGAGACAAAGACTGGAGTCAGTGCTGGAGCTAGGCTGCGTGTGCCCAAATTCCTGCTCCACTGCTTCCTACCTTTGGGGAAATTGCTTATACTCTCCATGACTTAATGTTCTCATGTGGAAAATGGGGATGACAGTAATAGACCTACTTCCAAGGACTGCTCTGAAGATTAAGTAAGCCAAGGATTGAACTTCAGTGAGTACTTGTTAGTGAATACATAATGCATTTAGAACAGTGACTGGTGAATAGTAAGCACTATATGCTTTAACTATTATTTCCATTATTTTCTGGTGGCTCCTCATGGTAATTTGAGTTGTCATGTTAAGGGTTCGTGAAGCTTATAAATATGCTCAAACAGTTCCATATTTATTAAAAGACTGAAAAGTCACATAGCAATGACATTATATTTTGATTTTTAATATCTACTTAATCTCGGTTTAATAAATCTATCCCTTTATATTTGCCAGAGTTGAAAATATGTCAATGAGGTTGGAAGAAATCAATGAAAGAGAAACTTTTATGAAAACTTCCCTGCAGACTGTTGACCTTCGACTTGCTCAGCTGGAAGAATTATCTAACAGAATGGTGAACGCTCTTGAAAATCTTGTGGGAATCGACAGGTCTGACCTGATCCAGGCAAGGTCCCGGGCTTCTTCTGAATGTGAGGCGACGTATCTTCTGCGGCAAAGCAGCATCAATAGCGCTGATGGTTACAGCTTGTATCGATATCATTTTAATGGAGAAGAGTTATTGTTTGAGGATACTTCTCTCTCCATGTCACCGGGGACAGGAGTCAGGAAAAAAACCTGTTCCTTCCGTATAAAGGAAGAGAAGGATGCAAAAACACATTTAGTCCCAGAACGTCAAAACAGCCTTCACCTTTCACCAGGCACCAGCACATCAGCAAGCCCAGATGGCAGTCACCTTGCTGTAGATGACTTAAAGAACGCTGAAGAGTCAAAATTAGGTCCAGATACTTGGATCTCAAAGGAAGATGATGAAAGACAGGCAGACTCTAAAAAAGAAGAAACTATTTCTCCAAGTTTAAATAAAACAGATCTGATACCTGGACAGGACAAATCAGACGTTCAAAACACTCAGCTAACAGTGGAAACGACAAATACAGAAGGCACTGTTTCCTATCCCCTGGAAGAAACCAAAATTACACGCTATTACCCTGATGAAACGTTCAATACTTTTAAAACAATGAAGTCCAGAAGCATCATGTATTCCCGGGGGAGAAAGCTGGTCAGTGGGGTTAACCAGGATGTAGAGTACAGTTCAGTCATGGACCAGCAATGGACGACGGAATGGAAATGCCAAGTTCAGAAGATCACACGCTCTCATAGCACAGATATTCCTTACATTGTGTCAGAAGCTGCAGTGCAAGCCGAGCATAAAGAGCAGTTTGTAGATATGGAAGATGAACACTGTGTCGCTGAAGCAATTCCTCGAATCCCTCGCTTATCCCTAACCATTACCGACAGAAATGAGATAGAAAACTTACTGTCTGTGAAATCAGATCAAACTTTGGGATTCCCATCTCTCAGGTCAAAAAGTTTACATGGACATCCTAGGAATGTAAAATCCATTCAGGGAAAGTTAGACAGATCTGGACATGCCAGTAGCGTAAGTAGCTTAGTAATTGTGTCTGGAATTACAGCGGAAGAAGAAAAGGTTAAGAAAGAGAAAGCTTCCACGGAAACTGAATGCTAGTCTGTTTCTTTGTTTTCAATAGTCAGAGTCACTAATGGGTGTCATCTTGGCCATCTAAACATCATCAGTTTCTGAAAACATTTTCTTTAAAAAATTTTGGAAATTCAGACTTGATTTAAAATTTAATGCACTAAAAGTAGTGTTTTGTTAGCATATGTTAGTAGGCTTAGTTTTTTCAGTTGGACTAGTATCAGTTGAAAGTGACAATACTATAATGAAGATAAATTGGCTAATCAGTATACAAAATTATACAATCTCTTTATTACTGAGGGCCACCAGATAGCCTAGGAAGTGCCCTTGAGCACTGAAGTCACCGTTAGGTCACATAAGAAATAAGCAACTGGCTGGGCACAGTGGCTCATGCCTGTAATCCTAGCATTTTGGGAGACCAAGACAGAAAGATCACTTGAGTCCAGGAGTTTCAGACCAGCCTGGGCAACATGTGATACTCCATCTCTATTAAAAAAGAAGAAGAAGAAAAAGCACTTATGTGGAAAGAAAAGCTAAAGAGAACACAAGCATGGAAAACAGGAGGGGTAGAAAGAAGAAAAATAAAATTAGGAGATGCAAGAAGTGAGAAGGAGCCATAAATATGTTTTTATGGGGCCTTTTTTTTGGTTTTTTTTTGTTTGTTTTAATGATTTAAATTACACAATGGGAAAAAAGTATACAATTATATCAAACATTATACTCTAATAATTTAGGGTGACCTAGAGTTTTGTTAATGTGCAAAAATAAAGTATCCAGTATGCATTTTTTTGTTGTCATAGAGTCCTTAATAGCAAATACAAATTAATTGTACCTGTCTACACAATGCTCTGTACAAAGCTGTAGCTAAAATCTAAAGGGTATATATTCACAAACTACAGAGACTACTCTTAGTTGAGAACACCATGTGTTGTGCTTCAACTCAAAGTTCAAACAAATATCCACAAGAGTAATAGAACCCCTATACAAGGGTTCCAAGAGGGGCCACTGTAGGCCGGCCATGGTGGCTCACAACTGTAATCCCAGCACTTTGGGAGGCAAAGGTGGGAGGACCACCTGAGGTCAGGAGTTCAAGACCAACCTGGCCAACATGGAGAAATCATGTCTCTACTAAAAATACAAAAAAATTAGCTGAGCATGGTGGTGGGTGCTTGTAATCCCAGCTACTGGGGAGGCTGAGGCAGGAGAATTGCTTGAACCCAGTAGGTAGAGTTTGCAGTGAGCCGAGCTCGCACCACTGGACTCCAGTTTGGGTGACAGAGTGAGAATCCATCTCAAAAAAAAGAGGGGCCATTGTGTAGGAACCCTGAAGGCCACACCACCATCACCACTCTTAGCTATATGAAAAGAAGCAGAGGTAGCAGAAAGGGGTCTTCTCTGGCTAGAGCAGAGGTTAGAGTTAGACCCTAGCCCCTCACCATCCCACAAGAGAATCTCAGGGTACTCGGGTCTCAGAAGGTCTCTGGTGCATGGAGATGGCCAGCCTCCTGCCTGGAGTTACTGGCAGCTGATACTTCACAAAGCAAAATGCCTCATACCGAGAAAGGACCACTGGGTAAAGTAACCAGTAATTGGTGGTGGTACGGTTGGGAGACACGTCAGACAGAAATGGGTGATGATCACAAAAAATGAGACCGCCATCCCCATTCTCATCTGAGGTGCAGACTAACACTGCCAGAAACTGGCAAAGGAGGAGAGAAAGAGAGAGACAGAAACATACAGAGGGAGACCCAGAAACAGAGAGAGGAAGATTGTAGCCTGTTGTACAACAGAGACTCATTGCAGTTATGCCAAAGGTAGCGATCAGACATGACAATACCAAAATTTTGCATCTTTTTCCTCAAAATATGACTGAGATTGTTAATAGTCAGATTAAAACTCTTGAACTGAGCTGAATTTATCAAAAAAGACTGATATACCATTGCCTGGGTTGAGGGGAAGGGCTTTAAAATTCGAAAAGTGATAACATTTATTTAACATAAACTATTACGTATTTGCATATTGCTGCATTGAGACTATTTAATCTATCCTGCCACATGTGTTTATTTGACTCCATACTTAACCCATTACATTTTATCTCACTCCTAATTCTTTCCTTTGGGTGTCAAAAAAACTTTCAGCCTTTTGCCATATCCTAGAAAAGAGATATCTCAGAATAAGCTGGGGAATCTATAATACCTCAGCAGAGCTGGTCTGCAGTAGATAAAGCCTATCTTTGGAATTCTCCCTGTATCTGTTCATTACACAGTCTCCCTTTACCAAGGTCCATCCCACCGTGCCTAAGGTTTGGCATTTCCTTAATTCTCATTTTCTTAAGTCTCACTAAGATCTGTGACACCTGTCTCCTGCCCAGGTGTCAGCTGAAAGGGACTTTTGATGTAGGATTTTCTAAGGATATTTGTCTTATGGATCCAAATAGATCAATTCTAATGGTGTGATTTCAGAACCTGTGACTGGGCCAACTATTCTTGAGACCTTTCTTGTACACCTTAAATCATACCATATGGTTGATTAGTACTTTACCAACTCAGTACAACTCAGATATTGACAGTCTTCCATGTAGGGTACTGTGCAGACCGCTTGGTACTACACTGTTAACTATTACATTATTATTCCCAATGTCATTATAATTTTGTCTAAATATGGACAACCAATACTGGGAACTAATATCCAATCTAATCAAATCTAGCAGTATCTAATACATTAAGAATACTGCATATGTTCAAATCATTTAATGTAGAACCGTCTTAATAAATGAATAAGAATTATATTTCTGTGCTATGTAAAACATAGTAACATAAGAAGAAGGCTTTTTATTCTTTTATCCCCAAAACTCTGGCACACTCACAAATGAGCTACAATATATTTGGTATAAAGTAAGCTTGTTTTGAATTTCGGTCAATGGAAATTAAGACTTAAACTGTCAAAGGACCTCATGATCTGTGGCTCTCTGCTTTAAGATCATATGGCTGCTTACATTCTGAATACATATATATGTTGCATCATCATGAGGTCCTTATAGTCTCCCATAGTTTAGGTTTCAAAATCTAAAACACACACTGTTAATGTTGTCATATAGTTATTCTATACCAAAAATGCATTTTTGCTAAATATATATTAAAAATAAAGAGAAATGAAATAATCTTACTGCCTCCTACACAAAGAAGGACTTTTAAAGAAGGTTTTATCCTAAGATAAAAATGCTGAAAATCACTCAACACTAATAACTGAATTAATTATTGTAAGCTGAATATCCTTGTAACCACCACTCAGATTAATAGAATTTGCCAGCTGCCCCAAAAGTCTCAGAAGTCCCTAACTCAACCACCTCTGTTCCCTGAAAAGTAACTGTCTTTTTATAGTAATCCTTTCCTTGCTGTTCCAATTATTATCACTGTTATTAATACAAGTGACTCCAAAACTGGGTGTCTTAAAATACCTCTTTGATTATGCTCATGGATTCTGTGGGTCAGGAATTCAGACAGCAAGAATGCCCCTGGTTTGCAGTGTTTGCTGATTTCCATGGTGTAAATACTCGTACCATAGCCAATTTTAATTTCAATATGGCATCACTGAATATGGAGTTAGGAAGACATACTAATAATCGGTTCTTGCAAGCCAGTACAGGCTGGCTGTAGCACACTACTGTCTACTCCATGATATTTGGGGCCTCAGCTGGGAAGACTCAGTATCTAGAGGTGACTCAACAGCTGGAGGCTGGGATTATCTAGAAATGTCTTTATCCGCATGTCTGAAAATGCATAATGGCTCTCAACTGAGATCTCAGTCTCAGTGTAGAGCGCATACACATGACCTCTCCAAGCAGCCTGGGCTTCCTCACAGCATGGCAGCCTCAGAGAGGTTGGATTTCCCACATGATGGTTCAGGGCTCCAAAAGTGAGTGTCCCACTGAGGAAGAAGGAAATATCATTTTTTTATGCCCAAGCCTCAGAAGTCCTGTAGAGTCACTTCTACTGCATTCTATTGATGAGTGACTAAGGCCAGCTCAGATTCAAGTGTAGGGGTCACATAGAGGGGAGTGCTTAAAACATTTGCAGACACGTTTTAAAATCACCATACTTGCATTTCATTACAGTTGTATTGCCTGAATGTTCCTCAGCACTATAGTTAACCTCACTCTTCTTTTTCATTTGAAGGACTTTTAAATATCTTTTAATGTGGTATTACCTTTCTCTTTCCCTTCCTTACAATTTCTTTGTCGAAGAACATGGGCCACTTGTCTTACAAAGTTTCCCACAGTTTAAACTTTACTTATTGAATACTCAGGCATTTTGACATATTCTGCTGTTGATACAGGAGGAATCAGAGATTTATTCAGGCTTAGGTCTGATCCCTTTGGCAAGGCTACAGAGATGGTGTTGCTTCTTTTACTAGGAGGCACATGTGTCTACTTGTGTCTCTTTTTGTGATGTCAGCAGCTGTTGATACTCAATGCCTAGATCCTTTAATGTATAGGAGGTTGAAAATTATAATACTCAAATGCTATTATTTATAAAGAGATTATTCTTTTCATCTACTAGTTGATTACACAGTGGTATAGTTCATACTACACAGCAGAATAAAGACAGATTGATTTTTTCCATTTATTTACCAGTTTTAAAAACAATGAATTGGTTCTCTACTATCCTCCAAAGGATGAAAGTGTTCTGCATGCCAGGCAGAGTCCTCACCAGAACTCTTACCGTGCTAGTATCTTGGTCTTACAATTCCCAGCCTTTGGAACTGTGAGAAAGAAATTTCTGTTCTTTAAGCCACCAGTCTCTGTACTTTGCTGCAGTAACCTGAGCACACTAATACAACTAGACACCTAGAAAATGTCATAACAGTTCAGTCAATAACAAATCCGGAAATCAGCTTTTCCAGGTGGCTGATGGTTTAGTTTATTTAAACACCATTATGACCTCATGAATTTAAATATGTGTGATATATTTTAATCCATTGTAAATGGCATGATCTCAGCTCACTGCAGCCTCCACCTCCCAGGTTCAAGTGATTCTACCGTCTCAACCTCCTGAGTAGCTGGGATTATAGGCATGCGCAACCATATCTGGCTAATTTTTGTATTTTTAGTAGAGATGGGGTTTCACCATGTTGGCCAAGATGGTCTCGAACTCCCGACTTCAGGTGATCCACCCACCTCACCTCCCAAAGTGCTGGGATTACAGGCTTAAGCCACTGCTCCCGGCCATAATTATTATTATTTCACATTTTCTTTCCTTGAGTACCTTAAATATGTTACTCCATTTTCTTCTGGCATAAAGCATTGCTGCCAAAACGTCTGGTAATAATCTAATTTTCTTTCACCTGAAAGTCACTTGCTTTTTTTTGTCTAAATAGCCAAAGAAATTTTCATTATTGTTTATTTAAGGCTCAGTAGCTTTAGAAGAATGAGTCTTAGTGCTGGTAAGCCCAGATCAATGTTCTCAGGTGCAGTGTGTTCTTTCAATAT